TGTTCCATCATTGTAACAAGAACAAAGTGAAGTAATAAGGTCTCTCTTTCTTGAGCCACGGCTGAACATCTGGACCACCAAAAAAAGCACAGCATATTCCAAACAAGCCAATCAGATAACCACAAACTTTGGCATCAACTACTTCCAATAAATGGAGTAAACATCTTTAAGAAAGTAAGGGTCGAACCTTGTTTATAGATAAGATATCACGAAGTTCAGTGACATTAAGCAACACTACGATCTCCTTCATCTTTTGGTTATCTAGTTCGTTTGCGTCCTCCACTGAAGTCATAAATCCCCTGACTGAACATCATACATATATTAGCATTTACTAACATGAACAGAAACATTCAGAAAGTAAAAGAAGTTAATGTGTGTGTGTGTCTGAACATGTTCAAGCGCATGTCATTTACCTGTTAGATCCTTCAGGGATTGAAGAGAATCAGACACCTCAGGATATGAAATATTTGATAGCCTGAACCAAGGTCCTGAACGAATAGGTATTCAAACACTTCACATAAGTATCATAAGGTGCATAATCAAAATGAAAACTGAAACTTCAAATAATCAAAGAAAGTGTGTTCCCAGAATAACTACTCTTTCAAAGAAAGGTATCTGTAAAAAACAGCAGACAAGAGACAAGGCCAACAGAAATGCAAATACCTCCAAACAGGAAAATTGGCGAAGAAGCCAGTTCCAGTTGCTCAGACACTACAATTGAGACTATGTGGCTTGCTACAAATACGGTCCTAACATCATTCTACCTACCGCGCATCAGATATTTATCAATGTCCACAAAAAAGTTTATTCGAAAAGGCAGAAAACAAAGTGTCAGACACTAACTAAGGTATAAAAACAGGAAAGAAAGGGGAATTCCCTCATACTTCTATTTTAATTGTTCAACATCACATCATAGCAGTTTTATTAGTACCATTTATACCATGATCGAATCCGGAAGTCCGCGTTTCCAGAGTTCGCAAGCAAACAAAACTACAAGGGACAATGCAAACACTAAATCAAACAGAGTAGATACCTTTTCGTGTGTAAAGACGGATAAAAAGTCTCTGGCTATCTTCTGAAAGAGAGGGGAAAGATTCTGTAAACCAAAACAAGAAACAAGAGTACAAAAAAGTAAATCATTCATCCCAAAAACTTCAAGAGGTTAACCGAAAAACATCTGAAGAAAACATAGGTGAATACCCAAGAATGCCTTTTCATCGGCTGTGAATAGGTGAGAACAACTTCTTAGAACCTCTTGTACTAATACGTTGAAGTTCAGCTGGTATCTTGTCGTCTTAGGCGGAAATTGCTTCTGATGTTCAACAACCTGAAGAACTTTCTCCCACAGAGGTTTAAAATCTCCAGCAAATTCACTTTCACTCCAACCATCAGATGTCATCTTGTGACAAACAACTTTAATTGGAACGGCTTCGAAAGAATGCTTCGGAACAGATGTTATTGTTCCCTGCAAAGAATGTGTGGGTACATTATTCATTACATATTCCATATCTTAGATTTTCTGTTCATATCAGAGTTTTTAACAAACTGCTATAGATGCAGGACTCGGGAATATACATACACGGTCAATATACAAGTCAGTTACCAACCTCAAACTTAAGGTCATATTTGTCGATCAACGGCGACAAGCACTCGGAAACGTCTTTGGGTATATACCCAAGCATTTCAGAGAGCCCAGAGTCTGCATAGAGAACCTAGTGGTGAAAGTAAAAATTAGATGCTTTAGCCAATAGACAAAGAAACCAGAATACACAGACAAGAAGACAAAGTTAACACCTTTATAGCGTTGCGATCCTTGATGTTCTCAGGATGTCTCAAAAGACAGATCTTAGCACCAATTTCTAAACCCTGAACATCACTGAACTTCCTACCAACTATAAAGGTTTCAATAGCCTCATCACCATTAGCTTCATCTAAAGTCACCATGTTGGAAATCTCCTCACTACTTGTAGAACATGAGACAACATCAACATTGCAGCAAAGAGAGTCACTAGGCTCAACCAAATCGAGTATCGGTTGATGCTTAGTACAGATTACAAGACAATCTTGAGATTGCTTTGTCCCTGACAAGAAATTTGACTGAAGAAGAGTGGTCTGAGTTAATTTCCTTTTCTTCCTACTAGTGGAATAACTCAAATCATCTGGAGAAAGTGAATGAATTTGTGTTAATTTCAAAATCCCTAACGAAGATGAGCAAAAAAACAAAACCAATCTTCTTAAAAATACCCACCAGAGATTTTGCTCGGAGACGGATCCTCCGACAAAAGACCATCATCTCCGGCTACTGTAATAAGATTGCCACAGTCGTTGACGTCGAGATTCAACGAATTCTAGAGGGGGATAAAGGGAGTTACTTTAATATTACGGAGACAAAAAAACAAAGGGGAAATTTGAAGGATTACCGGAGTAGGAGCGGAGAGAAGGTGGTGGAGATTGGGGAGAGATCGCCGGCGTTTTCCGATTAACCGGAGCAAGCTCTCCCTTCCGGTCAGCATTTCCTACCGTAGCGACGCGGGAAATGATTAGATTTTGCTTTCTCCAGATGGATGATTTGGTTTTGCCATTTCAACACTTTTGGTCGGAAACAGGCATGTGCATTTTGGGTCAACATAATTTTATTTTAGTCAACATAATTTATTATAACGAAAACTATGATGTGAATACAACTATACAAGGAATCATCAAGATGTGAAAAAAATACTGTATTGGTAAGTTCTGAGTCCAAAGGTAGGGAAGCTGTTAAACCCACAGTTTTCACCTGCAGTAAAGAAACCCCAAAAGAAACTAAAGGAGAAGAATTTCCCCAACACTCGCACTTGTTTCCTGATACAGAGATCACACAAGTCAATAAGCAATATATAGTAAGCAAAATTGTAGGTTAAGCTACAAAAGTTGAAAGTCTCTTACTTGGCTAACTTGAGGTGTAGAAAGCTATTGATAAGATGAGCAGTTGCAGTGCCACTTGGATATGTGAGTTTAAAGTCAATTATCATTATCTGCAAACACAAATCAGTAACTGTAAGTCAGAATTTGAAGTCTTTATACGCACATTATGGACTTGTTTTTACTATGTAGTGGATAGTCCTAGCTTAAGACTTTGCTAAGATTTCCTTGAACCTTTGTGTTTTGACATGGATTTGTCTGATTTTATGGATGGAGATGAACCAATTTCTTATGAAAAAGCAAGGGAATTCTTTGCTCAAGAAGTGAGTCTTTTGTCTGCTCAGAGCCTCGCACAGCTTCAAGGGTCGGCCTTCACTCACTAAACCAGGGATGTCTGTTTCTCCCCTTGTAGATCAGAGAAGCATCTTCAGCTTTGAAAACCCGAAAATAAGATTCAGAGACGGAAACGGGCAGACAATGAACAATGGTAATAAGCAGATGAATTTGCTTCACGGTGGAACCAAAACAATTTGCAATGCCTGTAGCGGATCAACTACCCCATCAATGCTACCGTCCCTTGGGCAACAGCCAATGTTGTCAAGAAGGAGAAGCGATCTCACTGATGCAGTGGCGGTTAGAAACAGTATCCCGGAGACTAGCAGCAGCAGAGTGTTACCAGCTACCCTCGAAACAGCTTCCCGCTGGCAAGTGCCCCAGGGATATCAATTCCAGCATCGGTTTCTTACCAAGAAGAGGTCAACAGCTCAGACGCAAAAGGCGGTGCATCAGCTGCTACGACATTTTCGACGATTTTCCC